TAAATTTTGAGTTTTTATTTTCTTTTTCGACTATTCAAGAATAACTTGTTCATCGGGGGTTTTTAATTTTTAATTTTTTAATTTATGATTATTCAGCAAATACCGCTCAAGTAAAGAGGTTAGTGAAATGGAAAAAAACAATACGAATCAAAAAGAAATACGAATCGAAAAGAATGGATAATTATTAGCACTTTATTCAAATAATAAAAATGAGAAAATTTTTTCGTGGGGAATTTTATAGACTACAAGAAATAGGTTTAATTACCTTCTTTCTTTCTTCCTTCGCTATAGTACTTTTTTTCAAGCCATGTGTTTAGTAAATAACAACAAAACTCATATTCAAAATATTTACGTCAGAAAAACATCAGGTAAATGTTTATCATTCATACAAAAAAATTATGTGGAAAATACATAGCTGATTCTTCTTAAACGGGAGATTTAAGTTTATTTCATGGTTTCATAACACTATTTGTTTCTATTTTTACGAAGAAACATCTGTCTTCAACTCTCAATATTGCCTTTCAAAAAACAAAATTTTCAAAATTCAAGATAGCTTGTATCTGCGAGAAAAAACGCCTAATGAATTTCTTCTACGGTACCCTTGTGGACACACAACACTAATGAATGAAAAATCGATCAAACGTGAATGTTTAGCGTATCCGCATTCCTGGAATCAAAGACCTCGGACCCATTCTAATCATTCGCCCGCTCGTTAAAAAAATAGGAAATTAGAATTTAAGATCATCAATCATTTTCAGAATAAGTGTATTCAACTATTTTTCCTCAAATATTGTGATTAACACTAAAAACGAAAATTTCAATTTCCTCCAAATCTAATAATTTCAGCGATATATTCAAAATAACCACAATGAAATTATGAAATTCTCGTATGTTGTACCTGAGATTGACCAAATAATTCTCTTCCCAGTGGAAAAATGCTGTACTAATTCTACCAATTACACATGTTATACTTAAATACGATAAGATACGTACAAAATTATTTTTACGCCTAAAAGAGAGTTTCAGGTAGAAAAAATCTGAAGGTTGATCAGCAATAAAGCAAAAGAAATTAGGGTAGCTGGTGCCTGCTCCGTTCAGCGGGTAAAATACCGCCCACCCATATTTCTCAGGATTGGCTGAAAAAAATTTTTTTTTTATGATGCAAATATTTTATAACAACAGGTAATTTCAGCAGAAATCTTCAATTTTCTCCCATGGAAACATCGTAAAAAAAATCCAAATCATTTCTTACCGAATTCTTAAAATATTTCAACCCCAGAATTTAAGATTTTTCAAATTTTCAGTTGGTCCATAATTGAATGGAGTGCGAAATATATCGTCGTTATACATTTCCACATCCATTGTGACCTTTTCGATAGCAGAAAAATATCGTCATCAGTTATTATTGGCTATTTTATCAGCCTCCGCGTTTGTGGGTAATTCCGCCCAGAGTTTCTATATGGCTGCTAGACTCTGCAGCTAGAGGGCGGTCGAGTGACAGCTCTATGGAGATAATGAGGTCTCACATAAAGAAAGTAAAGATGTGTTTATCATAAACAACTTATATTTATTCAGTTCGGTCACTTAGTAATTAGTTATTAATACAAAACTTGGAACGCCACAGCTGTGGTGGATTAGATGAGAGACGTGGTAATAATAATAATAATAAGAGTGAATATGAATGGAATGTAGATTTGCTATTTCGATCGTGGAATGAATATCTGCTTGCGTCGTTGGCACTGTTGGCGAGCTCCGTCGGTAACGCCGGAATCTGATTGAGGCACAGCCGCCACAGCTCGATTGTTTGGGGTAGTCGGTGGCCACTGGAACATCGGGTAAATTCAGGATAATTTATTATTATTCACGTGAAATCTCTCTCAAGATGAAGCCAAAGAATGGAAACGAAGGATGAAAATAGGAAAAATTATAACAGTTGGTCTGCATACCCTCAAAGTTCGATTCCATCGCTCACTGGCCAATGGCAATTGACTTACATAATTAAATATGTTTAATGTTAATAAAAAATCTGTCCTCTTCACATCTTCGAGTAAACACCTCGAAGATCCCATTCTAACCGTTTATGACTCCTTGTAGAGCGCGAGGCTGGAAAAAAAGACTCATTTCCCTTCGGTGGGCGGCACATGCACCAGCTGCCCTAGCTAAAACCTTATTACAATCCATGCGGGCCAGCAGTCGTCGGTAAAAAACTTTCTCGCTTCTGAATTTCCCTGACATCATTATCAGAATGACAAATAGCAACTACTACTTTTCGAATGTGAGCCAAGGCCAGGGAATACCCGCAATCGGGAAAATTAATGGGTGTCCATATTCATCGTCCTCCCTCCTCTCTGCAATTTCCACGGATTACTAATTACCCCTAAGAACCTCATTTTTTGCTTCATCCTCTCCAAACAACGACATTTTGTTACATGCGAGCATGGAGAAAAAAGATTGAGGGAACAAAAGGAGTTTCTGCAGCTGCTTCTCAATGGTTTTGCAGTAGACTCTCGTTGTAGTCGCATTTCCCCTTGATCGCTTTTTCGCTAGCGTGAACACTTCTCCCAGTCTCTAACACTCTCCACTCCTAAATGTAAATACATTTAGGCTTCTTAGACTAGCGCTTGCGGTCGTGGTGTCGAGTCCGATTTCATACTCCTTTTTCAATTTATAGGCATTAATTGGTTATAAGCATTCTCGTTGCAAATAGCAATACGACTGATGCACGGAGAGAAATATTCAGTAGTAATACCACTAGTGCTTTAAAATTATCGGGTATTTTCCGATAGCTTCATTGCCCAGGAACAATTGTCCCAATTGTCCCAAGTGCGAAGCACGTGGGATTTTTCTGCAAAATTTGACACACTCGTTCCTAGGCAGGGAAGCTTGAGGAAAATATCCGATTAATTTTGAGCACGAGCGGTATTTGACGGATTATTTTTCCACTCGGATTTCGGCCAAGCAGAGTGCAGTGAACAGCATCTGGATACATTTACAACCCCCTTTTTTGTTTATCAGTCAATCAGTCAATCAGAATATTAAACTTGAAATGCGTTGAAAGATGAGAAACATTTGAAAAGCTACTAGTAAATTTCCGTCGGAAATTTTTTAGAAATTTCCGAAATAAAACTGTTTGACAGCCTCAAATACTCCACTCTGATTGGTTGAAATCCAAGTGAGAAAAATATTCAATAAAAATTGCGTATCTTTTTCGTAATTCCAGAGCGAAATGTGGTTGTAAGAAATTTTACGGGACTGTTACGGAATTTTTCCAGAGCGTTCCGTAATTTTTACCCGAATCTCCTGTGAAAACTTACGATACCGTCGCTTAAATTTTCTCGGTTGATTCCATAATCGGTGAGCGACCTGTGAGTTCTGTAATTTTTACTGAACATTTTTCTCCGTGTGAGAATCATATGCCCCAATTTATCGGCTGTTAAATTGTCATATTACAATAAATGATTTGCTCACACGGAGAGAAATGTTCAGTAAAAATTACGGAACTCACAATTCACTCATCGATTACGGAATCGACTTAGAAAATTTAAGTGACGGTATCGTAATTTTTTACAGGAGATTCAGATAAAAATTACGGCACGCTCCGAAAAAATTCCGTGACAGTTCCGTAAAATTTCCTACAACCACATTTCGCTCCGGAATTACGGAAAAGATACGCCATTTTTATTGAATATTTCTCTCCGTGCATGTTTTAATTGCTATGCTCGCTGCATAAAATTTTAATCATAATTAGAATTCAATTCCTTTTATATCACACTTTAGAGTGTGGATTTCTGGAATTCAATGTTTGTTGATACTCTGGTAAAAGTACGTGCCCCTACTGATCTGAAAATTGCATTTCCATTGAATACTGCAGAATTCAACTGATTTTTAAATAACAAAATACATGAAAATTGCGTGGAAATGAGTCATTGTTAAAAATGTCAAGATTTTTTACTTGAAATTGGGAGGTTGAATTCAATTCCAAATAAAAGCCTTCACAAAATTTCTCATTTATCTTGAAAATGCAAAAAATTGGATTTTTCATGATAAACAATCATTGATTTTTCAATGAAAACTTGAATTTCAAATCAATTGAACATCACATACAATTCAATTTTCAATAGATTCAGCATTCAAGATAGTTGAAAATCAAGATAGTTGTTACCTGAATTTTCAAAATTTTCAAAGTTTTTGACTGCCGTACACTCAGAAAAAAATTATTTTTACCAAAAATATCCATTTATTACGTGTATGACTTAATTCTCGGCCTTTTTTCGACATTTTTGACATTTATTTATAAAAAACTGAATACAGATCTAATCTTGAAAATAATCGCCGTCACTTTTTTTGGAGATTGAGAGGTAAAAAACAAAGAAACATCATTTATAATTATTCAAAAAATTTTGGACACTACCCCACTGCGTCGCCAACTGTAATTCATTGGAGACGCGAGTTGATAATGATTGCTACAAAGCAATATAAGTATGATAGAAGCTGTGACACCCGCCTCTTTGCCTTAGCTACCCCGAAAAAAGAAAAAAAAATATTTTTTAGAAAAAAAAATTTTTTTTTAAACTTGCATGTTCAAAAAATTAACTAATTCGTCAATGAACAACTATACCAAAATTTCATGTAACCTTGGTGTTGTTAACAATTTCAAGCTTTTTCACCTGAAGTTTCATGAGTAATTCTAGCAGTGCAGCGCAATGAAGAAAGGAGTAAAAGCCCAAGGAAAAGGTGTGATCGCTGCGCCGGAGAGGCTCGCGGTATTGGATTTTTAGTTAAATGAAAAGAATCAAAAGTGGTAGTGGTAGAGATGAAAAAAAAAAGAAAAAAGTGAGGTAGGCGCGACGGGGCCTTCTCTCGCGGCGGTACACCATGTAACAATCGCGATCACTCGGCGAGATCCCCACAGTCACCGGCGGTGTAGTCCCCACCTTCCCGACTTTTCTTACCAACGACGACGACGTACGTATCAGTCGTCCTCAGTTGGGCCGAGTCCGCTCGCGCATTCGCACTTCAAAAATTTCGTTTTTTCGCGGTTCTCACTCCCATCAACTCCTCAACCGCAATTTACAAATTTAATCTGAAACCTTGAAATTGAAGGATCAAAAATATTTTCCCCCTTTTTGGATTGACCCACTTGTTGCATTTCCCCTTGCACTTTCACTCTCCCATTATTATCGTTTTTTTCTTCTTCAAAATACTCAGTTTGAAACGTTTGGCGCGCGTGCCGGTAATTAAAGCAATGTTGAGAGTGATATTACCGAGCGGCGTGAAGAGAGATTAAAGTGAAGTAGGAAGTGGAGGAAGTGAAGATTTTATTTCAAAATTCAAACGTCAAATTGCGCGCGAGTAGACCGGTGAAGTTAATCCTCCAGTTATTGATAAATTCTCCAGTAATTTGTGAAGTAATTGCCAGTGGTGAAGATTTGCGGATCATTCAGTGATAAAAAACCAATTGAAAAATCAGTATAAATGTAAGGATTTTCATTCTCAATCTCAATTCACTTGCTTTTTCATTTACATTTGCATAACCAGCTCGTTCGATCTAGTTTCAAACATTCACTTGATATTTGAAACAGCAGGTAGGCGAGCCGTGACGTTATTCCGGGAATGGGTGAATATTTGTTTTCCCTTGGCACCCATTAATGCCACTGTCGAATGAAAATTGACAACATCAATTGCGGGGTCAATTCACATGCGATTGGAGTGATCGGATGGAGATCGTTAGCCCGGTTGTGGATCAAATACAATTTCTAATGTGCGTTTTCACTGTAATGATATACGTTGCTGGTGGTAGGAGTAGTCGATGATACACTGGAGACGTTGATTAACATTCCTTCGTCAGTAAAAATCGAGGAAAAAATTTGAAAGTTATTCTGGGAGTGATATTGCCCACCGGAACTTGAGCAGATCAGGAGTTACGAGTGTTGCCGTTGAAAAGGCAGTGAAATTTCAACCAAAATTGTGAAAATTACGAAGCGTTCTGCCCCAGTAGTTCCCCTGATTGAGGAAGAAAAATGGATTGAAAACTACTGGGGCAAAATGGGTAGTTCTTTAGTGTTACTGATTATTATTGGGGATTTTTTTCCTTTTGAGGTGAATTGACTTTCAAATGTTCATTTTGCGAATTTCTTGGAGAACTATTTTGCTGATGGATTATTTTCATAATAAAGTATAGCATAGGAAAGTTAATGTGGAAACAATATTGTCCACCGGAACTTGACTAAATTATAGGAGTTACGACCGTTGCTCTCCAAAAAGCAGTGAAACTTCATTCAAAATTCGGAAAATTACGAGTCGTTCGGCCCCAGTAGTTCCCCTGATCGAAGAAGAAAAATTGATTGAAAACTACTGGGGCAAAACGGGTAGTTCTTTAGTGTTATTGATTGTTATTCGGGAAAACTTTTGACGTTTGAGATGAATTCACTTTCAAATGTTGATTTTGCGAATTTCTTGGAGGACTATTTTGCCTCATGTCTGATGGATTATTTTCATAATGAAATATAGCATAGGAAAGTTATTATGGAAACAATATTGCCCATCGGAACTTGACTAAATTAAGAGTTACGACCATTGTTCTCCAAAAGGAGTGAAACTTCATTAAAAATTGGTAAATTACGAGTCGTTCTGCCCCAGTACTTCCCCCGATCGAGGAAGAAAAATGGAATGAAAACTACTGGGGCAAAACGGGTAGTTCTTTAGTGTTATTGATTGTTATTCGGGAAAACTTTTGACGTTTGAGATGAATTCACTTTCAAATGTTGATTTTGCGAATTTCTTGGAGGACTATTTTGCCTCATGTCTGATGGATTATTTTCATAATGAAATATAGCATAGGAAAGTTATTATGGAAACAATATTGCCCATCGGAACTTGACTAAATTAAGAGTTACCACCATTGTTCTCCAAAAAGGAGTGAAACTTCATTCAAAATTGGTAAATTACGAGTCGTTCTGCCCCAGTACTTCCCCCGATCGAGGAAGAAAAATGGAATGAAAACTACTGGGGCAAAACGGGTAGTTCTTTAGTGTTATTGATTGTTATTCGGGAAAATTTTTGACGTTTGAGATGAATTCACTTTCATATGTTGATTTTGCGGATTTCTTGGAGGACTATTTTGCCTCATGTCCGATGGGTTATTTTCATAATGAAATATAGCATAGGAAAGTTATTATGGAAACAATATTGCCCATCGGAACTTGACTAAATTAAGAGTTACCACCATTGTTCTCCAAAAAGGAGTGAAACTTCATTCAAAATTGGTAAATTACGAGTCGTTCTGCCCCAGTACTTCCCCCGATCGAGGAAGAAAAATGGAATGAAAACTACTGGGGCAAAACGGGTAGTTCTTTAGTGTTATTGATTGTTATTCGGGAAAATTTTTGACGTTTGAAATGAATTCACTTTCATATGTTGATTTTGCGGATTTCTTGGAGGACTATTTTGCCTCATGTCCGATGGGTTATTTTCATAATGAAGCATAGCATAGCATAGGAAAGTTATTGTGAAAACAATCTCATCCACCGAAACTTGATTAAATTAATAGTTGAGACTGTTGTCTTTGAAAAAACAGTGCAATTTCATCTAAAATTCGGGAATTATTGGGCTAAAACGGGTAATATGTTCTGTTATTGATTATTTTATGTGAAATTTTTTCGCGTTTGCAATGAAGTCACCTTTAAAGATTGGCTTTGAAGATTTCTTGTAGAACTCATTATCATTTTCATAACAAAGTATAGCATAGGAAAGTTATTGTGGAAACAATATTGTTCACCGGAACGTGATTAGATCAAGAGTTACGAGTGTTGTCCTCGAAAAAGCAGTGAAATTTTATCAAAAATTGTGAAAATTTTTAACCGTTCTACCCCAGTAGTTTTCGAGATATTTTTCATTTTCGATCTCGGAAAATAATGAGCTAAAACCGGGGGTTTCTTGGTGATATAAATTATTTTGCGTGAATTTTCTTCGCGTTTGATATGAAGTCACTTCTAAATTACATTGTAGTTTTCTTGGAGAATTATTTTTTATAATGTCTGATTCGTTATTTTTATAATAAAGTATATTAGCATAGGGAGCTTATTCTGAAAGCGATATTGTTCACCGGAATTTGATTAAATTAAGAGTGACGAGTGTGTTCCTCGAAAAAGCAGTGAAATTTAATCCAAAATTGTGAAAATTACAAGTCGTTTTGGCTCACTAGTTTTCGGGACATTTTTCTTCCTAAATCTCGGGAACTATTGGGGCAAAACCGGTAGTTTTTTTTATGTTATGAATTATTTTCGGGGACATTTTTTCGCGGTTGAGATGAATTTACGTTTGAACGTTGATTTTGTGAATTTCTTGGAGGATTATTTTGTCTCATGGTTGATTTTTTATTTTCAAAACAAAGCACAGCATAGAAAAGGTATGCTGGAAGTGATATTGTCCCCCGGAACTTGATTAGATCAAGAGTTACGAGTGTTGTCCTCGAAAAGAGAGTGAAATTTTACCTAAAATTATGAAATTGTCGAGTCTTTCTGCCCCAGCAGCTCTCAAGACATTTTGCTTTCTAGATCTCGGTAACTATTGGGGCAAAATGGGTAGTTTACTAGTGTCATTAATCATTTTGGGTGAAATTTTCTCGCGTTTGAGATGAAGTCACCCTCAAATGCTTATTTTGTGGATTTCTTGGAGGATTATTTTGTCTCATGCCTTCTTATTGTTTTCATAACAATGTATAGCATGGAAAAGTTATAATGGAAGTGATATTTTCTACCGGAACTTGATTAAATCAACAGTTACGACAGTTGCCCTCGAAAAGAGAGTGAAATTTTTCTTAAAATTGTGAAAATTTTGAGTCTTTCTGCCCCAGCAGTTCTCGGGACATTCTTTTTCTCGATCTCGACAACTATTTGGCTAAAATGCATAGTTTTTCTAGTGTTGTTAGTTAATTTCGGTGAAATTTTTTTACGGTTGAGATGAAGTCACCCTCAAATGTTCATTTTGTGGATTTCTTGGAGGATGATTTTGTCTCATCCCTTTTTATTGTTTTCATAACAATGTATAGCATGGAAAAGTTATAATGGAAGTGATATTTTCTACCGGAACTTGATTAAATCAACAGTTACGAAAATTGTCCTCGAAAAGAGAGTGAAACTTTTCCTAAAATTATGAAAATTTTGAGTCTTTCTGCCCCAGCAGTTCTCGAGACATTCTTTCTCTCGATCTCGACAACTATTTGGGTAAAATGCATAGTTTTTCTAGTGTTGTTAATTAATTTGGGTGAATTTTTTTCGCGTTTGAGATGAAGTCACCTTTAAATGTTGGTTGCGTGGATTTCTCGGGAGATTATTATCATGTCTCCTCATGTCTTCAATGTTATTTTCATATCAACTGAAATCACAGTGTCCGAGCGATTCCAACGATAGAGAAATCATTCTCCAGTTTTCTAGGCCAAGTGATCTGAGCCGTTCAACAGTTTTTCCTCGAGGTCATTTGAGTGAGTTTCATTTTCATTTGTGGTTCACTCGGGATTAATTATATCTCCCGGTGATTTCATGTGGTCGAACGGATGTTATATCTTTTTCTCCTTTTCCTCATCACTATTTTCCCGGTTTAAATGGCCATTGCTGGCCATTTATATACACAGTGAAAACGTCCAGTCACCGCGAGCTGAATCCCATATGACCTGAGTCCAACACAACGATTTGTTGAGGAGGTTTCTCTCGGAGATACACTATATAATACGTGCATGCATTTTCGATTTCCGCAGGGGTCTTGGTCTCTTTGTTTTAGTCGTGTCGATGAACTTTTGATTTGAATTTCGTCGGGGGGCCAGAAGTTTTCGAATATTTTGGCGATTTTTTTCAACAATTTCGATCATTTCTTCACAAGATTTGGAGTGATATTTAGTGCATTTGTGAAATACTCAAAAAGTGTGAGTTGTGTAATGATTTTATTCTTGTGGAATAATATATTCAACGAATTTAAGAAAGAGTCAATTAAATCGATTGTAGAAGAATAAAAAAGTTAATGACTAGGACCAGAATTAATGCACTAGTGAGTAATCTCAGGAGCAAAATCTCGCTACACTCGATGTTTTCATACGTGGACGTCCACATGAAAAGAGGCCACTTGGTCGATTCTAGTTTCGGAGATATTCACGTTGTTGTGTCGGCAACTCCCATTTACACCAATGTTGAATTGTTTTTTCCATCTTCTCCAACGACGTCATTTTTGACCTCATGAAGATCATTTCGGGCTCAAAATGTGCGGAATGTTATCAATATTATCAGAGTATACATAACACCATATCGACGAAGTGGTCCCATTTCATACGGACGTCCACATATAGGTAATAAATTATTAGTGTCAATAAATGCACAACAATCGACACCAAAATTTCAATTACGAGGTAATTGAAAAGTCAAGTGATGGGCGGGATGACCCCCACGTGACTCCTATATGACCCCTACATGATCTCCATATGACGTTCATAAGATTCATATATGACGTTTATATGACTTCCATGTGACCCCCCATGATCCCCATATGAGCTCCATATCACCCCCATATGACCCTTTTGATCCTCATTCCGACACTTAGAACCCTAAATTTTATAGAAAATCCTATTGAAAATCTCACATGGATCCTGTAGGAAAAAACTGACAAGGAATCCTGTAGGAAATCCTGTAAGAAATCCTATAGAAAATTCTATCTAAAAAATCCTATAGGAAATGTTCAAATTCTCCAATAAGTTTTCCTATAGTCAATCCTATAGGAAATTCTATAGAAAATCCTATAGGGAATCCTATAGCAAATCATATAGGATATCCTATATGATTTTCTATAGGATTTGCTACAGGATTTTCTATAGGATTTGCTATAGGATTCCCTATAGGATTTGCTACAGGATCAAATCATCAAGGAGCTATTCTATAGAAGATCTTATAGGATTTGCTACAGGATTTCCTATAGGATTTTCTATAGAATATCTCCTTGATGATTTGATCCTATAGCAAAAACTAGGTAGAATAGCTCCTTGATGGTTTGATCCTATAGGAAATCCTATAGGATTTGCTAGAGGATTTCCTATAGGATTTGCTATAGGATTCCCTATAGGATTTGCTATAGGATCAAATTATCAAGGAGCTATTGTATAGAAAATCTTATAGGATTTGCTACAGGATTTCCTATAGGTTTTGCTATAGGATTCCCTATAGGATTTTCTATAGAATAGCTCCTCGATGATTTTATCCTATAGCAAAAACTAGATAGAATAGCTTCTTGATGATTTGATCCTATAGGAAATCCTATAGGATTTGCTACAGGATTTCCTATAGGATTTGCTATAGGATTCCCTATAGGATTTGCTACATGATCAAATCATATAGGATATCCTATAGCAAGTCCTATAGCATTTTTTCATACGTGCTAACTCATCCAGCCATTACAGTCCGCATAGAATTCACTATTGTCCGAGTAATTTTGAAGTGATAGTTCGTGTATTGGTCGAGTATATCAGTTTGCTGAATACGAATTAATTCGCGAATAAATTACAGATAATGGATTTTAATCAGTAGAAAGAATTTATTCCGCCCATTGGGACATTTGTCGCTGTTCAGTTTCGAAACTGGTTCGTTATCCATAATTCTCTTGTTGCTTCCTTGTCAGTGAAATCCAACCATTTCCTTTCGATTTCAACTGATCTCTCCCGAGTCTACATGCCGTTTCCACTCGGAGGTGGAAATAATTTTCTTTATTGAGAAATTTATTCTCAATTCTTCCTGTCTGAGAAGGTGACAAAGGATGCAATTGGTGTTATCAAAAGAGCAAGGAAATCCTCTAAAGTAGGGGAGAAAAACGATTTGTTTTCCTCCTGTAGTTTATTATTTTCTTCAAATGTAAATTCCTTCCATTTTTATCTAAAAATCGCTGAGGCAGAACAAATCGTCTCATTAAATTTTATACTTATAGAAACTTTTACCATAAATCTTGAGTCAAAATGACCGAATTCGGTCATTCAGCAATAATTCATATTTCGTTTGATTTTTTTAGTGAATCATCAAACTTCTTCATGATAATGCGTGAAAAATATAGATAATTAAACAACTCTTACCGGAAAAATAGAAATCTATCGTGAATTCGCAACATGAATCGGAAATTCATGTCATTTGCTCGGGAATTCAATTTCCTTTTTGATAAAGTTGATTGACAATGAATGATTGTTTTGATTGTTAACTTTTTATTCGCCTTGCGATTGGTTGATCGATCAATCAATGATTTCCATGACTACGAGGATGTTATTGTGCGTTACAGCGCTCACTTGAAGATGGTCGCGCGCAACAGCGCGCATGATTGCCTAGTAATATCATAAGGTTAAAAATCTTATTTTTTCGTATTTTTTCTATTCAATTTATTCTGAAACTGGGCATCTTAATGTTAATTGCGCGTATCCAGGTGTCGTTTACAGTTTCGTATTTTCAATCACCAAATTTGTCGGTTCAATTGTAAGAGAACAATTTGAGAAAAATCATGAATCATTTTTTTATTCAAAGATCTTCTTATAAATATGAATAATGGAAACTGATTCGTTTCACTTAATTTGTTTAATTCACTTATGAAAAATACAATATAAATTTGTACTCTGTGCAACGCTAATTGTTTTGACTCTTTATAGTACCAGACTATGTCAGTCTAAACGATGAATAAATCGAATTTAACGGAAACTGATTGGTTCAAATATAATTAAATTTGTTACAATTGATGAAAAATAATTACTCGGGTGGAGAATTGTTGTTAAATTATTTATCGATAAAATGTCGTAATCTTAAAAAATTGCAATGTGTCAATAATTCCATAAATCTTCCTCTAGAAATGGATTTTCTAATCTTTTCAGATTTCCAAAATATTTCCCAACGGTCTAAAATAGAGAATCAAACAGACCTTCAAAGTTTGAATAGTAAAATCGTTGCATAATGTTCGATAACCTAGGGTCCAATAAATTTGGAAATGAAAGCCCTGATATTCAAGTGTAAAAATTGAAAAGAATTTCAACGAAAATGAAAAGGCTAAACTTGAATATCCTTAAACGAGCGACAAGTCAATAAAAAATTATTCTCAATTTTACGAACAAGACTCTCAATCAGAAAATTACCTCCTCCCCCCCCCCCCCCC